ACCTGACCACAGGGGGATCTAAGCAATACAATCCCTTTTCCATGTGAAGACTGGGGCCCATAAACCCAAAGCACCCTCAAGCAAGGCTATCCTACAATCCCTATTCCATTGCAACTGAGAGATTTTGTGAGGTCAAGTTAATTCTGGATGTTTTCATGGGAGATAAAGCAGCTGCGGTTATCCCAAGTATTCCCTGCCAAAAGAACTTTTCAATGACATAAATGCTGTGAAGTTTTCCTTACCCCATGGGTCACATGATTTCTTTGAACTTCATCAAAAAGGATGACTTCATACCTGGCTCTTGTAAAAGTTTCATTTATACTTGAAATACCTTTGTGAAAGACATTTGAGTTTTTTTTTTTTTGCAATAGCCCATTAGCAATGAGTTGACAACTACACCTTCATGAGTTAAGATGGTCAGGTAAGATGTTAGAAGTGTATTTCATATAAACATCAAGATCAATCTGGTTGAATACTTGTATATGTGTTGCAACAAAAAAATCAAAAAAATGTAAAATGCCCTGCTCATTGACCATCAGGATAATGCCCTCCTGGGTCGGCTTTTTCTCTCATCAGCGACAGCACATTTTACTGTGTGGCAGTGATTTCATCAGGTCACAAGACCTTAACCCTCATGTTTTATATTAGAAGACTGCGCGCAGAGCCTGTGATTCGACAGAAAACTCTTCGGTTGTTTTTGCCAACATCTCAGTGAGTGTTGGAAGTGATTATCGATCTTGGGGGCAGCCCCAAGCAACAGCGGTTATCAGCTTGTCCGAACGAATGGACGCTGACCAACCTTGCCTAATGAAAGTTACGGGCCAATAGGTGCTCCGCATGGAGAAACGAATAAACGTGCAGATTCACTCTGTCTGCTTTCCTAGTAAGTTAGACAACGGTCATAGGCCTGGACTGATCCCATCGGAGCAGACTGGCCCACTCTGGCTAGGCCTAGCTTAGAGGAGTGCTATCATCGAAAATGAGCCCGACGAGCACGAGCTGGACTTGAAGATATGTAAGTTGTAACCAGCAGAAATCTGGCCCGGTTATTAGGAAAATGGTAGAGCTGGACTGGCCACACATACTCCCTCTCACGGTGGAAAGTACTTTATGAGGAATGGGTTGGTTACCGAAAAGTTATAAATACTGAGGCTTCGAAGGCCCCAAATGTTTTTCCATCATCCCATTCACATCACCAGACATATAGCAGCTCTTTCATTACACCTTCATTCCACATCGTGCTCTACTAGACTTCCGTCTACCCATTACTTCCAGTTACCCTTCGATTCACCATCAAAACACCCACTCAAGCCACCTACTTTCCAAGATGTTGTCCAGCGCCACCCTTTCGCTTGCTCTCCTGTTTGCCTCCGCAACCAACGCTTTGCCGAATGGCTACTCCAGCTCATCTGTATCCCGCTCGTACACGGGAACCTACCCGATCATCGCCCAGCCGGTCCAGCCGGTCCAGCCGGTCCAGCGTTCTTTCTACGGTGGGCAGCAGCCATACTTTGGACAACAACAGTTCTACTACGGCCAGCAACCTTCATACTACGGTTACGGCTCGTACTTGCCAAACCAAGCATTCTACGGATACCAACCTTACCCCGCCTGGGGTCAGGCCTACGGAGCTGGCCCGGTACCTTTCGCCGGCCAGAGCTACGGATACAGGAGTCGCACCATCTACGGCGGCGGGCCTATAACCGTTAGTCACGTTGTCATTTTTTAGTATGCTAATCTTTCATATGCTCACATGATTGGCTGCTTCTCTCAGGGTTATCCGGACCAGGCCTTTGGCAACTTCGAAGAATCTCAATTCGGCCCCGCGACTCTCGCCCGCGCAGGCCTACAGAACAGTGTACAAGGTGGTGGTGAAATCGGTGCAGGTGCTCAAGCCATCTCACGGGCACATGTTGGTGCAGGTGGTCAAGTCGCAGGAGGAGGCCAATTCAGTGGAGCCGGGCAGATCGGTGGAGCTGCTCTGCTCAACGGAAATGGCCAGGTTGTAGGAGGAGCCAATGCGATCGGCGGCGGTCAACTCGGCGGTCAAGCGGGCGGAGCCGGACAGTTCGATGCCATCGCTCGTGCCGGGGGAAACGGTCAATTCGGCCTGGGCGGCCAAGCAACCGGTCGTGGCCAAGTCAGTGGAGCCGGACAGTTTGATGCTGGTGCACGTGCAATTGGCAACGGACAAGTTGGTCTAGACGGCCAAGCAATCGGACGGGCCCAAGTTGGTGGAGCGGGCCACTTTGATGCCGGCGCACATGCGATCGGAAATGGTCAAGCAGTCGGCCAAGGTCAAGTCGGTGGAGCCGGTCAATTCAATGCTGGCGCCCACGCAGTCGGTAACGGTCAACTTGGTCTTGGCGGCCAAGCAGTCGGACGTGGCCAAGTTGGTGGATCCGGACAATTCGATGCCAGCGCTCGTGTAAATGGAAACGCACAGGCCGTCGCAAACGGTCAGCTTGTAGGCGGTGGTCAGGTCGCCGGAGGAAGCAAAATCGGCGCTGGTCTTCAATAAACCAACTCTTATTCCTTTGTTGATCATAACCTTCTTCTATCCCCAACCAGTCTAAAAAACTGAAAAACCGTTGGGATATTATTATCAGTTTTGTTTGTAAATACTTCGTGCTTTGGGTTATATGGAACAATTGGATGTGTAGATAACTTGTATGCATTGATTATATCAAATAAATGATGAATCGACTTATTAAAATGCGAAAGACATGCCCAAGAATAACACAAAATATTCATCACTCACAATGAGCCATAAAGGAGAGGTCGGCGTGACAGAAGTCCGCATTCCCAGTTTGTTTCTTGTGGGTTTACAGCAAGCCGATTTGCCGCCAGCTTGTGAGGAGAAACTTGCAGGCAATGCCTTGTTAAGTAGAAGAGGCTTCCACGGGTATCCATCCATAAAACTCAACTTCCAAATCAACTTCCAAACCTCAACTTCCAAATCAGCTGGTATTTTTCTAACACTTTCATTTATGTTGAGAGTAGAACCTTGGTAAGTAAAATTCAAGGCAATCTCCTGGGAAAAGAGCAGAAACAATCTTCCCTCTTTTCTTTAACCCTTCTTCTGATTTCAGACTGTCGCCTGCCTGGGTTTCTTCATCTGATCTCTATAACTTCACCGTTCAGTTGTAAATATACAGGCACAACTATTTTAAAATGTTCCTCTTGAGTCTTCATTTGAATACTTAACAATGACAATCATCCAAAAAATTCCTCTCATATTGTGTTTTTTCTTATTTATTTATTTCCATCTCAGGTGAGAGAAACTGGCATTACATAACCATTTTATCCACAGGGATACCTTCATTGGCCGTTTTATTCCTGGGCAGTGACTTCTTCCACCTTTTAGAGTTGGCAGCTAAAATCCGTTCTTGATAAGACTTCCATTTTGATGAACCATGTATAGATTTTCATCTCAATTTAGCACCTAGAACCAGAGATGGCCTTTCTGGGGCTCCCACACCAAGATAGAGAGGTATTACGCCCACCTTAGCCCAACATTGATCGAGAGACTTCGCTGATCCAGAACCAGATGTTGGCCCCTCCTAGAGACCGAGAACCTGCGCCGAGCTCCGCAGGATCTAGTTCTTCTCTCTGCGGTTGGCGTTACGTGATATGCTCCGAGGGCCCCCCAGGAGCCCTCAAGTTCTCGGGAGCTATGGATCGTTATGAGGTAGTAAAAGCATCGGACCAGGGTGATCGGTCGCCTAAGATGGGTTCCTAATTATTGAACCGTGAGGTTGTGGGTTTCACGGGTGAGCTCAAGGAGGCTCAAAACTTTTTGATATAGCGATGCACTATAGGGACGAGGTTGGTTGTGCTGCTATTTTGGCTTTCGGTTCCTCTGTTCCGATCGGCACACGCCGGTTGCTCTGGTCCACCAGTGCCCTTAGCGAGACTAGAGTGCAAAACCCTTCTTGTTTGTTATCACCCTCGATAGTCCGCAGAATACTTAAACCGGCTATCTCTATCATCACGAATTCTTTTTCTCACAAATCATCTCGACTTTTTCATGCAGCTATAGCCCATCTCGTCATCCAATTTCCATAAAGTTTCTTTCCTCTCGCCATCACTTTGTCAATCATAGAACCCATCTAGTCATTATACAACTAAAGCTCATCTTGCCATCGCAAAGTATTATCAGTGCCAATACGATTCCTCAACATGAGTGTTTATCGACTACTCTTGACTGTGGTCACCCTACTCGTTAGCAGGACTGACACCGGGAAATTCTCCATGCAGCACTCAATTAACCCTCAATCAAAATGACTGTACGGCGTACGCATACTTTCTCTAGTGGTTTTCACTTACTATAATTCCCTCTAGCCCATACATAGCACAGCCTAGCCACAGGTCTGAATCGATTTTGCTTTCATTTCTCTTCATTGATTCAAAACTTGTTTTGAAATAGTGCATTCAAGTTGATTAAATACACAAACGGTGGCAGGATCATTCCATCTCCAGATCAAAAGAACATTGTCACGGGCTCCGGGCAATGCAAGGTGGGTCCATGTGTCTTGATTGCAATGAACAATTGCGAGTCAAATTACATCATGCAGGAATTCTGTATTTTACTGATGAGAATCTCCGTCTTCTAACAGATGACAATCCGATTTACAACTGTGATGTGAGTAAATCTTGCCATGTTTCCCAGGAAATTGAAAATTGATGAACATATATTTATTTCTCAATCATCTCAAAATTAGCACAAAGGACGAATTAGATCAAACAGTCAATAAAATGCTGAAACAATGTAAATCAAAGGTGTGTAACTTCCCCTGAATCCTGTGACAGTGACTCTGCCTAAATTGGTGTATCCAAGGATCTGATTGGATTTTTGATTTGAATTCACTTAGGCTTTTGATACTACATTCCAAGCCCTTTCAGGGGGTACTGTCCAGGTATTCACAGAAATAGCTTTCAATGGTGATCCATCTTCCCCTGTGGGTGGAAACAATAAGTTCTCAGAGCCCACCTGTCAGGGAGGGAGTGTTGTACTGTCAGATTGTACCGTGTTTGTTTTTATTTATTTGAAAGAATACAATCCCATATATATTCGGCTTGTTGCTGACCAGATCCACTCACTTGAATTAACAGCGCCTTGGCCAAAATTAAACAAAACAAAAAAGGTGAATTCATAAGTCCAGCAAATGGTATGCCATGGTATACAATGACTTCACAAGTTGGAAAGTGTTATGTGAGTCAACCTAACCCCTTTTGATATACTATTGACACTTTTGATGTGATATCTGGACTCATCATCAGACTGTGTCATTAGGTCAATCTTTCTACCATAGGAGGGTCAGGTACTTCCAACGTTATCTTGTAAGTCCTTCAATTTTCCTAATTATTGTTTTGGTTTGATGGCTTTGATTGCACTCACTCTACTTATTCTTATCATTCTGGGAACAGGGATGCAGGGGATCAAAACACAGCTTTGGGTTTATTGACCAAGAAATGTAAAACAAATGTAAGAAAAACAGCTCCTGTCATGTAATTCATGGCAAGTTGACTCAAATTTTGAATCTCTTGGTAGGGTGGTAGTATTATAATTAAAGGATCAAAGGCAGCGCCAAACACAAATGTACAAATGGAGTATTTCTGAGTTAGTTTGAATTTGCATAAGAATTTAATATAAAATCAATCGTGTCATGTGAATGAATTTGTTCACAAGTGTTCCTTCTTCCCTGTATTTTTGTGAATTTTTTGACCTTTTTCCAAGGCCTTGTCTTCCTTCATGAGTCATGAGATTTTTGAGACTGTTTAGTAGTTGATTTAGCCTGAAAACACCTGCCATACCCCTCATTCTCAGACAGCTCATTACTCATTTAAAGTGCAAAACTAAAATTGTAAAACTAGTTGTAATTTTATGTATTTTTGAACCATTAAAAATAGCTTTGACGGAGCCGCAATTGGGTGTCTGCGGGAAAACTTTGGCCGCCTGTGTTCTTTTTTTGCACTCCAACAGACCCGGGAAACCACCCTGGGAGCTTTTCGGGGGGCAGTCAAACCCTTGATGACCTGCCTCCAAGCCGCACTCACCCACTTTCCAGTCAACTTCACCCAATCTTCAACCACCCCCATCTTGACCACACAGCTCCTACAACCCGTACAGCCCCAAGGGACACTCCAACTTGCCACTCTCCAAGGAAGAAAAAAAAGGAAAACCAGGTTCAAAAAAGAAACCCAATTCAGTTGCCACACCAAAACCAGCAGAAAACTCAACCACCAACAATGAAGACACCCCAAAACGTGAGGAAAAAAACAAGGCTTTCCACACTGGTTGGTCAAAGAAGATAAGAAACTTTGCATTGCTTGGTTAAATACCAGCCAAGACTCCATTGTTGGGAATGGACAGAAGGCGTCCACCTTTTGAGAACGTATTCACACCACCTTTTGGGAACGTATTCACAAAATGCATTACGACATGATTAACAAGTACAACAACAAAAAACAAGGTGCAAAGGGCTTCAAAGAGCTTCCTCTACAACCATTTGATGCCTTCAAATGCTTTTGGGCACACATCCTCAAGGTTCTTAACAAGTGTTTGGGCTGCTACTCAAATTTTGAGTGACGTATGAAGAGCAGAAAGACTCGCAAGGATGTTGTATGTTTCCTTTCACTTTTCACTTCACTTGATTTTTTAGTGTTACTGATTGATGATATTATTAGCTTACGGAGGCCAAGGAGCTATACACGCTTGATCTCTGACTTCTTGGTATTGCAACAAGAACTGATCAAACAACAAATCTGTTGGTCTGTTTGTTGTTATCAAAGCTTGTGTGTGTGGTGTTTGGTGGTAGGTGAAGTCACCCTTGAACTTGCTTCCTGCCTCATCTTTGATAGTCATGCTGTGCAGGATTATCATGGCCTACATGATTGCAGAGAGGTCATTGTGTCTCCAAAATTGACCGGGGTAACGCGCAATCGCATATTGAGCTTGAAGAGCACCAAAAGCTTGTTCTATGTCCTTGTGGTAAGTCTCTTGAATTTTGGCAAAATGCTTCTTCTTGGCTCCTTGTGGTTTAGATATTGACTGGATCAGAGTTGCATATGGAGGGTAGATGCCATTGGTCAAGAAACATCTGATATCATATTGATTCCCGTTAACCTTGAACAATACCAAAAGACCTTTGCCTTCTTAAAGCTGCTCAAAGATGGGTGATTGATTGAGTATGTTGATGTTGTTGAGAGTACACGGAATTCCAAAGAATGCATGCCAAATCCATAGATTTTATGAGGCAACCACTTCAAGGACTACTGTAGGCTCCTTTTCCTTGCCTGTATATTGACCATGATCAGCAACTGGGCAATTCTTCCAGCACTAGTGCATACAATCTAATGACCCCATCATTCCTGGAAAGCCTTGCTCCTCTGCTACTGCCAAGAGCCTACTTGCATTGTCTTCATTTGGCTTTTGTAAGTATATGTGGCTGTAAACTTGAACGATTGTCTGGCAGAATTTTTTTAAACATTCAATCAATGTTGATTCACCTATTTACCATCAAAGATATAATCAGATTTGTGAAAAATTAGATCAAAATTGAAAGGAAATTTAACTTACTCATGCCAAGATACTCATCAATAGAGTCCCCACCACATCTGCATCGCCGCAGTGCCTTTTTGAAGAGCCAAAAACCCAAGCCTTCCAGATGTGTCTTGCTTTTGTTGGAAGTATTGATTGGCCATTTCAATATCTTCAACAATTTTGAGGAAAAAACTCCTGCGCATCCTGAATTGGCAACGGAAGAGGTAATCGGGATAAACACAGTCCTTGGAGAAGTAGTCATTGTAAAGTTGCTGTTGTCCTTGAAGGTGATTCCGGTAAACTTCCCTTCTTCCAGGTGTTGAACCACCACATTCCTTTTTTTTGGTTTGTCTTGAGAATTAAGGCCATTGTTGTCTGAAGGGAGGCAAGAACATTGTCATCATTGTCCATCCATCGAAGGAGATTGTCCATGGTATTGGTGATGCGAGACAAGGATGGTTGGTGAGTCTATAGAATTGACTTGGATTGCTGCTCAAAGTGCCGGTCCATAATTGGGGCTGGCCTGCGACTCATGTGGAATGTGGTTGTGTCTCAGGGGACGCGAGTCAACTGCCCCCCGGACCGTTAGAGATGCTCTAAAATTAGCTTTGTTCATAACTACTGTAAATGGCTGAGTGAAAATAAAAAAGAAGGGCCAAGAAGATTTTTGACCAAGGTAAATGCCTATCCTTTCACCAATGTTCCCCAACTGCACAACCTCCTGTTGGATCTGGGGCCCTCCCAGTTTTTGATTTGATTCAGACACAAAAGCTCTATATTCTCACAGAAAAATTTTGTTTTCAAGGCTCTAAATTGGTTCTGGGGGACCCACAGCTTGTGTGATGAAATTTCACAACAAGCCGGTGAGGAAGGGGGGAAATATATACCTTAAAAAACTCTTGAGGCTGAAAGAATCAGGGATAAAAAAAGGTCTGGGAGCCCAAAAAGGGGTCAAGACTGCTAGCTTGCATGGCAGAAAAGTACACACACTACAGAAGGTTGTATGTTGTAGAGACCTTGGGGATCAGGTGCAGGAGAACTGATGTTTGTATTTCTAACTCAGACGCATGTCTACAGCCATGAGGGGCCAGATTGTGGGACAGAAAGTGTGATGAATATGCATCTGGAGCAAGAGAAGAGATGAAAGGAGTAACAGGGAAGGGAAAGGGACAGAAAGAGTGACTGGATGGTGGCAGAATTGCAACATTGTGACAGAAAGTGCTCCCCTACTTTCCAAGAATGAGAAAACACAGTGTCAGATATAATGAGAAAGTGTATGAATTGGTATTACTCAATGTGAAATTTGTGCAGTAATTAAGTATCTCAAAATAATGAAAAAAATAAAACCAACCATCTCCAGCTCACTGTAGGGCTAGCTTTGTGGATGCATAGTTGTAAAATGGAGTATCAATTTGACCCACAGATGTAGTCTTCTCTGAGATGTCTCTGCATACACATAACTAGAAGAAATACGGGCTCAGAGAGCCAAACAAAGTGACATGCAATCCAACACTGACCTCAACCTCCAATTCCCATTTTTCAATGCCAACATCAGACCAAGACAGGTGTACATAACTCAGTAAAAACCCCTCAACAATCTGGGCAAACAAAGTCACTGAGTAAAATTCCCCAAAATCGGGGGCAAACACTCATGCCTCATAATCTGACAGGCTGGATATCCAACTCATTCTTTATCTAATCTTGTTCATTAGCTACTAACAGCGGTGGGCTGCTACGCTTTTGGCCCAAAGAACGTAGTGTAGCAGCACTTTTTTTGCGCCAAAAAGTGTAGTGCTGGCATTTTTTAGCAGATTTTTGCTATGCTACGCTGCACTACAGGCCACTAACAGCACTTCAGGGCCAAAAGTCCTCTAACAAGTGTGTTAGTGTCGCATAGTGGGCCCTTTTTTGAGGCCTATGTGTATAGTGTTAGTGCAGATGTGGCAGAATTCCGCTATGCTATGCTAAAGTTTAGCAGAATTCCGCTACACTACACTGCACTAACACTATGGTTAGTGTAAATGGCCCACTGTTGCTACTAAACAATCTATGATCTCTGATTATGTAAATTGTTCACTCAAGTGATCATTCATGTTCATTCATCTGACGCAAACAGTCTCCAAAAGGAGAAAGAACCATGCAATGGAACACCACTGTGGGACATTGTGTATGTCCATTGTAATTTCTTTTCAGATTCCTAACACCAGCAGGATCAGGGAAAGCTGCCTCAACATTTTTTTTTTAAATTTTCTTTTTGCTGATTTTGGACCTATAAATCAACAGATGAATCCAGGAAGACGGTGAAAAAAGGGGACAATAATAGAATCAATGTTTTCTTTCATCTTCACAGAGAAGAAGCTTCAGGAAGAAAAAAAACATGAATGATCTGAATGATGATCATACTATTTGAGAACAGTCTGAGAATTCTTAGTTTTTTTTTTTTGAATTTCGATTGACAAGACTTGACAAGTCCAAGGTAACTTACACAGGGAATGACTAGAGTATTTTGAGGATGAGAGGGGGGGGGGGTTGATTTAGTGGATATTGAAGGGGCCAATGCCTTTCTTATTATCCCAAGGAAAGAGTTCAGAGGTAAGATGGACGAGGGATTCAGGAGAGATGAGAGAGGATTGCGAGGAAGAGGAAGAAGAGAAGGGTGAAGATGAGGAAGGGGTAGATAGAATAGAAGGATTAGAGTGACGAAGGGGAGGTAAAGAGGGGTGAAGGATGACGGGGTCGAAGAGGTCCCATTCGCAGCAATCGATCGGGGTCATGAGCGCTTCCTCGAGTGCGGGGAAGGTGTAATAGATAGGATGGTCGATCGAAGGGTCGACGAGGAGGGGGTCGACAGGGCCATAGAAGAGGGCGTCGACCCGGCGAGAGACGTAGTCGTCATCGGCCCGGATCCTCAGGAAGGGCCCATTAAGTCTAGGAGGCGATCTACGTTGATCGGGTCTATCGGTCCCGACTCGACTGGGCTTGGTCGACGATGAAGAGCCCTCCGCTGATGGCCTCGTTTGAGACGACTCCCCCGTGACTATTTGGCTGGTCTTTAAAGGCGACCGGAACGGCACCGGGTTCACTGGGTTCTTCAGATACGCTTTGATCAGTAAGGTCGAGTTGGACGTCGCATCCCGTCGAGTCCGTCGCGAGTGTCGCTGGGCTGGCCGAGCTGGATCCAGGCCTACTGATTGGGACCTCAGAATCACCGGCTGGGCGTGCTGCTTGTTTGACTGTATGGACCAAAGAAGCAGCAGTCAGTCAGGGCTTCGAGAATGAATCAAACAATCAAGCCGAAAAAGAGCTCAGCTCTTACAAGTATGGGTCGGATCGTAGTGTCTGTTGATGGTTGCTGCTTGTTGCGAAGATTGATTGATTAGGTCAAGAAGCTAATTATTATTACGTTTTTTTCGTGACTCACTGAACTTTCATGATGAAGGGTCTTGCCTGAGCCCCTTACCCTCCGATCGCTTGATCTCATAATAATCACTCCCAAGTTTTTTCTGTACGTATGTGCTACTGTTGACTACTAAAGATCAAAAGACACAGAAGATCAGTGAGGTATCTGTCATCCATCAAGAAATGGGACGAGAAGGATGATGGAAATACCAGCTGCTGACCTATCAAATCTCCTTCATATCCTTGCCTGATCGAGTTGATTGATTTCCTGTTGATGTAAAAAAAATCTGAAATTGAAGTAGTGACTAGCGAGCAAACCCCCGGGGGATCGGGCTAGATAACCCGGTGCTCAACACGACTTCGGCTCTAAAACCTACAATACACCGTTCCTTCACTCTCAAAAAGTATCTTGTAGACTAGGGGTGAGGATGGGTCGGGTCGGGGCAAAAAAATGCTGACCCGACCTGCCCCAAAAATAAATGGGTCAGGTCAGGTCGGGTCACTTTTTCAAAAACCTCTGCCCCGCCCCGACCCAAGACCCACAACTTGGGTCATGGGTCGGTGTGGGTCGACCCATGGGTTGACCCATGGGGCTACCGTTTTTTTTTTTTGGAGGCAGAGGTTTTTTTTAGGTGGAGGGGGGTTTTTTTTTGGGGGAGGGGCATGATGCCTTCTTCTTTGCATCATTTAATGAGAAAGAGTAAGAAACAAAGAAAGGTGAATGGAGAATAGAGAAAAATAAAAAAAGAAAGACAAATAGATCCATCATCCAGCTACTCTGGTTGATCGTAGATTTCGTCACCCTCTTTCAGCCAATCTTGTGTACAAACAAGAGCCTCGAGGGTGTCTGCATTTAGACTTGCTCGGAAGTCGTCCAGGACCCTTCCAGAAGCTGAGAAGGCAGATTCCGAAGCTACAGAGGTAGCTGGGATCATCAAGACCGTTCGGGCAAGCTGACTCAGGGTGGGAAACTGCCTTGAATTGAACTTCCACCACTCGAGTATGTCGAAGTGAACTCCTGGTTCAACTTTGACATTGAGTTCTTTGAGGTATAGTTCAAGCTCGCCAGTTGGTGTACCTGTTGAGCCAATCCCCTTGGTTTTGGCAAGGTGTCTCTCAAAATCAATAGTATCCTGGTCTTGGATACAGAGAATTTCATCATCTGTGGCTTTCGTGCTTGCAGGTGTTGCTGGCCTTTCTTTCTCGTAAGCAGTGACATACTCCTTGTACCATTCGAACAAAGCAAAACGGACGTTCTCGATCTCGCCAGGGTTTTCTTCTAACTTGAATTCAACATAAGACATCTTTGAGCGAGGGTCAAAGACCAGTGCGATGGCGGCAAAGACCTTCATTTCTACCCAGTACTTGTAGAATTTGGTGAGCATGGGGTCGACAATTTTTTGAATGTGACTACTAGTAGATGTGTGTCCGTTCAATAAGTGGCGCTCAATATTCTTCATCGATTTAAATATCAAATGAGAGGTGGGATACCTCGAAGCTGATAAATCAACAGTAGCTACATATTGAAATGTTTTGAGGAGAGTAACATCAGTAAGAATAATAACCAAGAGACGTACTGACTGATTGCATTCAGAACTCACTCTTGTAGAATAACTCAAGGAAGTCCTTCATTGAAGCTAGTTGTGACCATTCTTCAGGACTTGGGCAATCTTCATAGTTGGAATCCGTAGAAGCGAGGTTTTCAAATGCCTCTCGGAACGGCAGACTGGATTTGATCATAAGGAAAGTTGAGTTCCAACGGGTTGCAACATCTTTGGATGGTAGGAAATTCAGACTGATATTGGCAGTGTCGATTGCAATCTTGAATAGCTGAACTCGGGATTGACTGATTTTTGTGTACTTGACAGATTGACGAAGCTTTTGGACCGCATTGAGCATCACTGAAAGCCCATCTTTAACAATCAAGTTGATTATATGTGCAGCACAGCGAACATGGAAGAACTTTCCATCAGCCTCTAAAGCTGTTGGACTGCGGTCGGAGACTATCATTCGGAAACGGGTCACGGCCACATTATTCGATGAAGCGTTGTCTACAGTGATGAAAGAACACTTCGTTATAGACTTCCATTCAACCAAGCTTTGAACCAGTCGATCGGCAATAGCAGGACCTGTGTGAGGTGAGGCCAATTCCTTGAACGAGATGATGTGCTTCACCAACTCCCAGGATTCATTGATGAAGTGCGCAGTAATGACCATAAAACCAGTTGCGTCTCGAGAGCTCCAGAGATCAGTTGTCAGAGCAAGACGCTTAGCTTGTAGAATTTCCTTGAGAAGATTGCCTTTCATGTTTTGAAAGAGGGCCATGCAATCGTCTTTTGCTGTGAAGCGAGATCTCACTTTGAAGTGTGGATGCAGTGATTCGACAAACAGCTTGAAGTACTTGTGCTGAACCATCCTAAACGGGTAATCGTGTGCAGCAATCATCTTGACAAGCAAATCTCTACTTCTCTTTTCAGAATACTGCCACGAGTTTTGAGTCATGCTTCCATTTTTGACCAAGAGCAATGACTGTTTGGATGATCGATTGGCATCTTGATAAGTCTTGCAGCGGTCCAAGTGTTTCCACAGATGTGCAGTACCAGAAGTGGACTTTCCGGAAAGCTGATCCTTACAGTAATTACAGACTGCTTTCACTTCACCTTGTTTGTCCTTCTTCTCATCCTTAGTGAAATGCTGCCAAACCTCGCTGGTTGACTTTCTTTCTTTTGATTTGTGGTTGTCATCGCTTTGGGGAATATTGGTGTTGGTGGGTGTGGCTGTGATTGCAGAAGGATCAGATGAAGATTGATTTGATTGGCAGGCCATAATGATATGAATTGAAAGGCTTGGAGTCTAGACAGCTAACAATTGAGTGATTGTTCAAAAATTTATGGGTAGTCGTGGACTCGTGGACGGAGGATGAGGGTGCCTGGTGGACCTGTTGGCATCAGGACACCTACAACTATCAAATGAACCATACTATCATTGTTTATGTCTCAGGTTGAGACTTAAGAGTCGCAACTCCCTTGTGTCAAATTTCAATAACTCAACATTCCAGGCAAGTTTCAACAAAAGCGATGCATGCTGAAACTTGGCCTCCTCATGGGTCGACCCATGGGTAGTCCAATTTTGGAAAAGCCTGACCCGACCCACCATGGGTCACCTAGTGGGCCGACCCAACTGGGTCAAAAAATTGGGAAATCTGGGCTTGTGCCGCCCCACCCCGACCCAGATTCCAGCTGGGTCGGGTCAAACCGTGGGCCGACCCGACCCATCCTCACCCCTATTGTAGACCCACTTCATCATCATCTTGGCACAACCATCATCAACAAATCAACTTTTCTCATTAGGGCCTCTATGTCAATCACCAATCATCTTCGAAAAAAAAGATAAAGTCAGAGTGACTGAACAGGTCAGTCGGAGTGGGCCTTCATGATTGGAATTTTTCAAATTTCCAAAGCCAATTTTTGATGAGGTCTAAATTTCTCAGCAACGGAAAATATGTGAGCTGGACAGTGTTTTGACTGAACACTCTGTCCATACCAAGTTTTTGAATTTATAGAGAAAAAAAAAAAAATTATTGACGCTTGAAAAGGGCACCCCTTGGATCAGAACCGGCTAGGTAGTGTTCATCATCTTATAGGAGCAAATGGATAGATATTTTTTTAGAAGATATTTATTAATTGAGATAGCCCACCCCAGTTTATAACTTATAATTATGTCCAAAGTCCCTTCCCCCCAAAAAAAGAAAAACCACGAGAAACAAAAACCGCCCCATTCCCCAAGACCTCTCTTTGCCAGCCCAACAAACCCAGGATCTCCACACAACCCACCTATCTGCCCCCCCCCCCCCAAAAAAAAGACCGTATCTCAGTGTAACATGAATCAATAAATAGGCCCATTAATTACAACAACAACAAAAAACCAAGAAAAAACAAAAGAAAAACAGATAACGTGTAAGTGAAGCTTTCATCATTCCCATCCATCAACATCATCAAAAAAACAAAAAAGAAGGGGGAGGGGTTTGGAGATTCCAAGAAGTGATTTGTTTTCTATAAATATCTTGTGTGTGTGGGTTTGTTTTCCATGGCAGTGATTTTGGTGGATGTAAATCTTCTCGAGGTAAATGAATATGATGATGAGTAACCAAATAATCAAAACAAAGGTCTCCTGCTCCTGCTCACCAAAATCATCAAAACCATGTATTTTGTTTCTTAACTATTCTTTATAAAAAAAATTTAGACACCCGCCACACACAAAAAAAACAACAACAAAAAGCAAATGGGGAAAAGAAAGGAGTATTTGATCAATGTTTAGTTATATATATATATATATGTGTGTGTGTGTTTTAGATATATATATGAACAAAAAAGTGTATAAGAAAAGGCAAAACAAAAAAAAAACAAGTTAATGAATCAGAAGAAAGAAGAAAGCAAAAGGGAAAGAAAAAAAACTCCATAGAATCCAGTGTGTGAGTGTGATAAGAGCATATATATATAAAATAAAAAACCAAGTAAAAATTAGAAGGTGGGAGTGAGGGGGGGTGAGATCTGAAGAAAAAAGGGGGACAGGGAACAAGAGTAAGGAATAAGTATATATATAAATGATTATATGATGACTTTTTTTAAGATGATGAGGAGGAAAGATAGGACAGGGGACAGGGTACAGATAGCAAGGAAGAACGGAACTAAGCGAGACAGAGATGGAGGGAGAAAGAAAGAGAAGGAAGGAAGGAAGGATCAATAGCTATCGAGAGGCATGACATCGGTGAGCCATTCGTCGCCGACCCGAGACTTCATCGCTCTCAGGAAGAGTTCCTTATCCGTACCAGCGGCATGATGCACCCAATTATCGAGCACCCGATCCGACGAAGAGGAGGGAATGATGTGAGTAGAGGAAGCAGAAGACGAGGCTGGATGAGCAGGAGGAGGAGGAGGAGCGGAGTGAGCAGGGAAGGAGGAAGCGGAAGAAGGGTTGTTGTTGGACGAGTCGTCGAGTGGGAGCCGAGAAGATCCTTGCTCGTCATCCTCAAAACTTTCGCCCTCCTCTGGCTGCGAGTCCTTGACCGCCTTGGTCACCAGGAACCCACCCGCACCGTCGGTTGCGCCCCACACCGCCGCCCAGTTAGCCGCCTCGATCAGCCCGGCCTCCTGGTCCTCCTCCGTCAACTCCTTCAGCTCCGGGCCGTCCTTCGTCGAATTCTCGCCTAGCTCGTTGCCCGAGGAGCCTTCCTGGTCGGCCCGGAAAGGCAGGGCCGCCGAGATCAGTTCCGGCGAGATCCCGGTGCTGAACTGGTTCGTGAACTTGCTCGGGATCATGCCGTTGGGATTGAGCGACGAGGGGAGTAGACCCTGCTTGACCATCTCGTTATGGCCCTCCTTCAGTACCGCAGTCAACTGCTCATCTGTCAGACTTGCGAGATAGGTCTGATGGTCCATCGGTGATGAGCCCGGCTCGAATCGTAGCGGCAGGGTATTATTTGAACCGTCGATCGCTCCGAATCGGTCCATGTCAATATCTCCACAAAATTCCCCATGGACCGCCCCTCCTTCCATGATCGGCGGCGGGGTCGGATTTAGGTTCCCTGAACACATCCCGAGGTGCTCACTCATCGGCATCGGTTTCGAGTAATTATCAGATCCAAACAGTGCACATTTTTCCGAATGAGAAGCCAAGGGATTATCCAGTGCTTCTATTGACGACTGTAGGTGGTCCATGCTGCATGTGCATCCTGCTTTGAGGTGAGACAAGTTTATAATGTAAGCGTGCTGAATGATTGACTGCTATTGATGATCTGGAGACATTTCTCTCACCTGAGTTGCCGTTTAATTTCGATGAGGAGTGGAAGTCATTATGGATATTATTATGAATGGATGAAGTCGTTGAACCAGGGAAATTTGTGTGAGATATATCCATCCTGATGAACAAAAACGGGAAAAAAAAGTCAGAAAGCCGGTTTACATACATTTTTTTTTTCAGATGCAAAAAGTTCAAAAAAGAACATCTATGACACTCACTTATCTAGATCGTGAATATCATTTGCCTCTATCGATGGATTTGTTTGATGGTTGAGAAAGGGTAAGATCCTAGAATCTGGTATCGAAGACTCCATCGGTTCCTCGTCACCAGGGAATTTCGGGTCAGATCCAGAGCGACCTTTCTGCTCCTGTGCGAGTCGTTGCATGAACTCTGTCGTAGGTGGTTTACGTGCCTGGACCATTGCGCCGTTTTTGATCCACACCACTGGTGCCTTATGAGGACGAGGCTTGCGATAACTAGAGTGATCGGGCTTAAGTGCACGGGAGAAATTCGAGCGCCAGCTTTTGGTGAGTAGGGGGACTGTGTTCCGTGTGTTCGAAGATAGGGGTAATTGAAATGATTCCGGTCCTAGTAAGACACGAGCTTGAGTGCCAGAGTGGAAGGATGATACCGAGGAGAGGGAGCGTGAGTCGCTGTCGGTGTCATCATAGGTATCACTATCACTATCACTACAACTGGTATCACTGTCAGTATCGCTTGTTTGAGAGTCCAACCGAGCGCCTTCCATGATCTCCAATCGTTTTCTCTTCTTCTTCCGTCTCTTGGGTAACGGAGGAAAGACAGGAAGTGGAGCCCAGTGTTCAAGACGACCGTGTTCATCGTCATCATAAGCACCACGAATCGAAGCAACTTCTCTCCGGATGGCAGTTGCAGGCGATTTCTTATCGCTCGGGGGGCGGGTTTCCTTCTTCAGCCGGGCTGCTTCCTGTTTTTCTTTTTTCCTCAACAGTGCCTGTTCTCGTTCCTCGGGCGTCAAGCCGTAGAATCCTTTGAGGCCACTACCTAGACCCCTTCGACATTGCTCCTTTTCGCCACGCCGTCTCCGACAGGAAGCACAAGGGCAGATGTCCCTGCACTTCACACACAACATCGTCCCACCCGGTACAAATTGAAATAATGGAGGCCGGAGTTCGGGCATGTCGGCGTAGACTGTGCGAACCATGAGACAGGTATGACAAACTCGGACGACGCAGTTGGGATCCTGCGACTGATCGCAGATCATCTTGGGTCGGGTGGTCTTGACACGGCATTGATGACAGGTAGAGGATTCGTATTGTCCTGTTTCATCGGGTTCGGTGGCTGGTAGTAGGGCAGCTATCCTTCGCTTGACTTCGCCCTTACAGCTGCCATCTGCTGGGGCAGCCGGGGTATTTGGTGCAGTGGGGGGATCGATCGGTGATGGAGGTTTGGGACGCTTGGGACGGGATGAGTTGAGACCTGACTTGGTTTTTGACTTTTTCACTGGCTCGATACTAGGCGGGGTCTCCTGAAAAGGTACGGCGGTCTGTTCATCATCGTGATCACCATTAGCTGAACTGCTAGATCCAGCCAGTCGAGTCGGAGAAGCCGGGTCGCTGGGAGAGGGTCGACGCGTGGGACGTAATCTAGGTGATGGGATGATTGCCGTCGAAGAGCTTGGAATGGGTTCTGATGATTGATCACCGCCGATCCAAACTAATCCACTGGCACCATTACTAAGTAGTGCTCGCCTTGCCTATAGAGCCAAGATGAGAGAGATGCCGAAAAAGGAAAAATAGACAATCATCAGTTTTCAACTTCAGATTGATTCGTAAGGATAAAGCTGTCTTATCGGAGGATCACTTACGGTGGCTGCTCGCCCATGGCCGTTGGTGAGTAGCTTTGACTTTGGCTATTGAAAAGAAAGCACGATCAGTTAAATTTTGTCGCTTGGTGAGAGAGGGAGAAAGGAGAGCTCTAGACTCACAGCAACTGTCATTTCGACATCCTCGTCGTCATCTGAAGGCTGTTTGAGGAGGTTATGTGAGCTTGATCCGGTAAGTTGGTTTGATCGAGTATTGCTCCGGGATGGCTTGGGAGATTGAGCAAAAGTGACAGCTCGAGGTATGTTGGAAGGGATGGATGGGTCAGAGATAGAGGATTGACTGGCTGAAAAGGGTTTGGAGTTCTTTTGCCGAGTCGATTTGTCGCCCTTGCGTCGAGGGCGTTTGAGAGTAGGAGCATCTTGCATCTCCACGTCAGAGTCAATGACGAATGAGCGGAGTGCTTCATCTCCTGGGCTATCGGCTGGTTCACCGTCATGGGAGGGAAAGATGGAGTCCTGCTGCTTTGACATCGAGCCACTGGCCTTCATCGCAAGTGGAGTACGTTGAGATGCCGAGAGTAAAATCACTTCAGCGTTGGGATGGTTCTGAAGTCGAGTGGAGGTTAGATCGGAAGAGAGCATAGATGGGGTGTCGACTGGTGAATCTAATGTGACGATTGAATCTTCATCCGTCTCTGGCTCTTTAGATCCAAAGGGCTTGAAAGGGGGTGAGAAACGCTTGGTCAGACTACGGATAACGGTAGGGTCACGAATGCTACGAGGATGAGATAATTGATGATGAGCAGATCGAGAGTTAGTTTTGGGTTGCTGTGAGGTGATTGAGGATGTTTCTGGGTTTAAGGATTGAGTGTCTGGAAGCATAGATTTTGGTAAGGATTGGGGGGGAGCAGTAGTGGCGGCAGTTGGACTATCCAAATGATTCTGTTGATTATTTGCCAATGTTTCTACATTCCACATGATAAGGGGATAACCTGTTGGACGTGAAGAGGATAGAGACAGCTTGCAGTTAGAATCAAGCTTTTTTGCCCGCCAAGTTGACGCGATAACAGTGGCGAGGAGGGAGAGGAGAGACTGACCTAACAAAGATCCGTCAACACATGAATAGATTTGATTGCTTGGTTTGGTGCGATTACAGACAGGTTGTGAGATTGATGTTTGAGGAATGGTGAGTTGATTGGGTGGGTTGACGGAGTTGATGATGGCTGATTCAAAGATATGCGGTAGGGGAGATAGTAGTCCTGATGTGTATGAAGAGGAGACCCCTGAATTATGCTTGATCTGGTCAGTTGTTTCGACAATGAGCATCCTGAGAATGATAAGAGTCGGGTATCCCGGAGAAGCAGAAAATAAAAAAGAAGAGAGAAAATGGAGATGTGAAGGAGGAAAGGAAAAACGCAAAAAAGGGCCCAAGAAACAAAAAAAAAACGACAAGGCTGAGTTAGAGACCATGAAAAGTTTGCTGAAAGAGAGGAGGAAGTAGGACGTGAAAAGGTGAGACTGACCAGTCGAGAAGATATCAAGATGAGGCCTAGCAAGTAGATCCAACGGGAAAAGAAGGCTGGAGGACGGATGAAGGAAGACTGAGTGAGTCAAATGAGATGGGGCTGGAGAGATATCGAGGAGTGAGATGATGATGAATCATTCGTTGGTTTGGTGTTTTTGGTGGGTCCTTTTTTTGTTGATTGTTGTAGTCTGTCAGATAGAGGGTCAAAGGTCTACAGTCTTGATGAACTGATATCAGATCAATCAACCAAAAGAATCAAATCATCAGCTGAGAGGATAAGCTAGATCGAGCTGAGTTTGTGGAGATATGGGAAGTCAATGGAAACGAAGATGAAGAAAGGATAGAGAGGGACAGATTGATAGGTAGACAGGAGATAAGCTGTCGGAAACCATTGTGATGGCGCTCCATCTGTCAGTCTGTGTTCTTTATAAGGAGCTGAGTTTCTTACCTATTCAAAGTGAGGTTGTTGTCTGAGGTTCAGTTTTCCCTGTTTGAGTTGAGTTGATTGATGATGTTGTTGTTGGTAAGTTGTTGTTGTTGTTGTTGTTGATGAGATGAGTGTGGTGTTGGGTTGGGTTGGATGCTGTTGACCGTCTGAAGGTAGAAAAAGTGAAGAAGAAGAAAAAAAACACACACACAAGCAGGATGTGTGTGTACGACATACCCCACCCACTCAAAAAGCCAGTTTAATCCAGGTCCATAACCAGCTTTAACTCAGCTTAAAGACTGAGTCTCACTAGAGAAACAAAACTGAAAAACTCTTATATCGATAGATAAATACATACTACACACATACAAAAAAAGAAACCGGCTCAGTAAGCGACTCAGCTGTGTAAACAGATTACGTAAACCAACACCCATATCCATCCTCAAGCCCAGAAAACAAACACAGCACAACTACCACTACCACTCTGGCACTCACTCACTCACTCAACTCAGAAACAAAAAAACAAAAAACAAAAACCATTCTCCACCTCCACTTGACGACTCACCTCGTCAACTCTCATATTCAATATCGAAGGATTGTGTTCGAGCTTGGGCAAATTAGAAACTCAAAGAACCGGATACTCAACCCGGCTCGTCGATCGCACCGTCATCTCCTTCTCTTACCCATCTCCACCAAACCCAACCCCCCCCCCCCCCAAAAAAAAAAAAAACTCACAAACGACATCATTCTGACTTCTCCGCCCTGGATAAATCAAATTTATCCATCACGATCCAAAAAAAAAAAAATCTTCACGTTGCAAAAAAAAAACAAAAAACTCAATGTATGCGTGAATGATGCTGATAGAGACTGGCTATAATGAACCACGAGGATTCGGGTGATCATCCAGTGAAGATCTGGCAATGGATTGAATGAGCGGGATGTCTTATGATGTAGACACCAGTACGAAGTGTTGCAATGCTTTAAAATCAAAGCCTCGACCGATTCACATTGTCCCGATACATACAAGGCATCCCCAATGCCCGATTTTATCAACAGCACAATATTCCTCTGCTTAGATATGTAGACACATAACCCAATTAGAAGCGAGGAGAGGGAGATTCGAAAGGCGCTTGTTGAGTGTCCCGAAAGTCTCCCTTCTCATGAATGAATGAACGGATGAATGAATGGATGATGTGGGTGGGTGTTGAGCTGAGTCGATCAAGGAGGACAGGGTTCTGTGGAGAATCATTTCCAGAATTAAACATACATGGGAATGGGGATGTGATCCATCCCAAACCCACAACGACGACGCCCACAAAAAAAAGCGAAAAGAAAAGAAAACCCACTGCCAGCTAGTGACAGTATATAAATGCCCAAATAGGGGCCCACCAAGAGAACACTTCGAAGCCCATCTCTCCCCGCCCCTGGGCCTTCTCTTTACAGGCTAAGCATGATACCCCGAACTGGTATATAAATATATAAATTGCGAGTCTTTCAAGTAACCAACAGGATGATGAAGAAGACAAAGAAAAGAAGTGCTTCAGAGAGCCGAAAAGTGTAGCAATAGACGTCGGGCAAAGAACGAGGGTCAATATGTATCGAAGAACCAACCAACCAACCAAAAAAAAGAATGATTGATAAATAGGGATGGGATGAGGGGGAGATCAATGAGACCTGATAAACTGGTGGAGATAAACATGGGAAGCGGTGCGCCGAGTGATTATGATAAATAAGGATGAGATAGTACAACAAGAGGTATTCGTTCTTTTGTGTGTTTGGACTTGTTATTCGATTGTGTGAGAGTGTGATTTCTTCGGCCATCTCGAGACTTCTTCTTCTCCTTCTTCTTCCCATCTTTGTTTCGTCCTTCAGCCGATCATGAAAAAAAAGAAAGAGAATGAAAAGCAGAGGCAAATGGAAATGCAAAGAGAAACAAAAGAGAGCAAATAGGGTGAGAGTGAGCAAAAGAAAGAGGACGAAAGAAAGAGGACGAAAGAGAGAGAGAGAGAGAGAGAGAGAGACCGGGGACAGCTTATACGGCGGAAGAGCGCGGAAGGTAGAGCGGATGATGGGCGGACGAGGAGCGATTATAGCTGATATTAACAAGACTAGTTCTTCCGCGCGGAGTGGGACGAGAGTTACTGGGAGAGATGGGGGAGATGAGGCAGCTATTACGAGCGGGCCGGATGGTGGAAGGAAGCCGGGCAGAAAGGACGGAGGCTCTTGCGGAGGCGAGCGGGGAGACTCCGTCTTCCTCGAGGATGGTCGAGTTGATCAACGGATACGACTGGTGTCTCTCTTTCCTGGACACGAGCATTAACGGCTTGAGCCGCCGCGAGCATCGTTTCTCTTCGGCCCGACTGTCGACGATCGCTTGGTCGGATGGGTGGTCTAAAGATGACGAGGAGGAGAGCTCCTCGACGGACTCGTTGGATCGGTCTTCCGATCGCTCTCTGTGGGTCTCCTTGATAATAGATGGGTCCACCGGGTCGGGCTTCGAAGGACTCGGCATCGAGCTCGACCGTTCTTGCTGCGAATGGTTGAGAGCATGGTCGGGCTTGTTGGAGAATGCGCGTTGGAGCCATTCGCGCCGTTCGGCGGAGCCGGGTTTCCCGGGCAACTGATATTCGCGGGAGTCGAGACGAGCACGGTGGTCAGTAGCTGTAGATGGCCGTTCGCTACTACCAGGGACCTCGATCTCGAAGCCCAGCCCAAGCAAGCCCTTGATCTTCGTCACCGGCGGCTCGGGGAAGCTCAGAATTTGGGTCGAATTCGGCGTCGAGAAGTTGGTCTGGTAGGACGAATGACTGCTCGAGGGCGTCGTCGTGAACGAGCCCAAGGTGCCCGCCGAGCCCACAGACGATCTTCTCCACTCGTTCCGCGGCGACCCATTCCACTTCGGCTCTTGCTCGCCTAGCAACTCCGTGCTCTCTTCTCGTCTTCTCGTGTGCTTGGTGAGATGTTGGTGGTCTAGTTTCAAGTCAAATTCCTCTTCGTCTGATGAACTGGCTTCCGCGATTATCACCCGGTTCATCCGGCAGCGAGACGGTGCATAATTGCCCTGTCAAAAAAAAAAAAACAAGGAACAATTTAAGCCAGTGACTCCCAAAACATGAATAAAAAAAAAGTCAAACAACTCACCCGTAGAGAGCTCTGTGAGCGGAATTGGAGCAGGGCCTGTCGACTTGGACCTCGAGAGGGGGCGGGAGGATTATCGAACAATTCGTCTTCATCTTCGAAGTCTTGATTCCTTCGGATATCGCTTTCGGCATCCGAGTCCGAGCCATCGGGCAAGTCCAGTTGATAACCGAGCCGGACGGCCATCATGTCCAAGGGCTCATTGAGATCGATTTCGCTTGAAGTTTCATCTCCCACTGACATGGATTCCGAGCGGCGAGGTCTGGTGCGAGAGAACGGATCGTCACTGAGAATTCCCCCATCATCCTTCTCAGGTTCGTCCAAGCTCAGATTATCAGGACTACTTGTGCGACTGGGTAGATCCGCATCAAGAAGGTTGCTATCCGTTGATTTGGCTTCTTTGATCATACTGGAAGAGCTTGAAGCTTTCGAGTCGACTGCCAGAAGCACGGGCCGGTGAAGCCGCTGGAACCCCAGCGGGGTCAGCGGAGATTTCTGATTGCCATACAGATCTAACAGGTCATCGATGTTGTACGAGGCGTTAGATATATCAGGAGAATCGAGAGGGTAAGGCGGATTAGTGGCTGTGAGGCTCCCGGCCATGGCTTCTGTCGGGGGCTGAGTGGGAGTCCTGTTAGGATATGATAGGGGAGACCAGTTGCGCAGAGGAGTGGGTAACTCGAACCCTTTGGCCAAAGGCAATGGGGGTAAAGGTATCTGCGGCGGTAGTGATGGACTATAATTCAATCTCCGAGGCAAGTTTAATTGAATGGGTTCGGAGTGCGAGGCGCGGGAGAGTGGTGCTGCATCGAGGGAGGGTGACAAGAATGCATCGCGTGAGGGTGGTAATGGGAAATCGGAGAGCAGGTCGACAGATCTGAATGAAGGACGAAGACTATCGGTGGGAGTCGACGGCAGTTGGATAGACGCCAGATCTGAGAACATGAGCTCATCGTCATCAGAGCCTGTTGTGCATGTCGAGGCAAGGGTCAAAGTGGAGACCCTGCTGGTAAGCCTCGAAGGGCTGAAATGATCCACTGGCTTCTTGGGCCGGGACATTGAGGAGGGAAGGCTGTCTGTATCCCGCGAATATGGGTGGAGAGAGGAGCCTCGTGGGCCGGGCTTGAGAAGAGATGGACCCCGGCGAGCAGTTGGGGTGGGCGGAGAGAGATAGATAGGCTCGGTGACCGATCTGATGGCAGGGTTATATTGGATCCCTAGACTCAGCAAGTTCTTGGGTGCCCCGGTGCGAGCGCCCGTGATGCTCTTCGGGGTTTTAAGTTTGGTATCTGAGTTAGGGGTTTGCTTTTTCGGGCTGAGCAATTTGCGCTTCGGACTGAGAACTGATTTGTTGTTGAGAGTGGGTGATTTTGGAGTGGAGGGGATATTTTTATCTCTGCCAGATGGTGGGCTGCTCTTCTCAATGTTGGCGGGTTTGGTAGTCGTCCCAGGACTATTGGGGTCATAGTGGGTTGAATTGCGATGCTGACCAGACTTGTCAGTATCAGGATTCATGTTCTTGGACTTGAGTAGACTGGTGCTCGAAAGACGCCGGTTGAATATATTCGAGGAGGTCCTCTTGCGAAGGGAATTGCTCAAGGGTTTGATAAAAGTCTTTGATGATGAGGATGTGGTGGTAGGTGGGCTTGAGGGTGGCTGATTTTCTGACTTGGCTTGTGGGGCAGCCAGCGGGGTGTCAGTGGGCTTGAAAGTTGCTTTGAGGGGAGACTTTGATGAATTGGGGACGGAGGAAAAGAGTGCTCTAGTTGGAGCAGATGAAGCAGGCTGAGGTACAGCAGGAGCAGCCTGAGAGGGTGGAGAGGGGTTGGTGTTGTCGAACCAATGCTTGAAAGCCGACAGTGAGCTGATGGGTGGTAGACTGTAGGCTAGATAAGGGGAATCGTGGTCAAGCTGCTTGGTGGGAGAGGAGTCGTGGTGGTCAGGTTGGGTGGGGGAGAGAAGGCCGGATGAATGCTGCTTGAGGTTCTGGGTTGAAGGCTTGAAGCGAGGCAGGCCAGAAGTGCGTGAGGTTTTGCGGTCGAGTATCATGGTGTTTGATTGATGGGAGACTTGATCTTAACAGGTACTAGAGAATCTTACTCTAGAGGAGAGAGAGAGAGATATTTATTTATTTACATACAATAAGGGGGGTGATGGAAGGGCAGGGGAGGAGAGCAAAGTTAATTTTTAGTACAAACAACAGAAAGAGAGGATCTGGATGGCAGATGAAGGAGAAAGCTGAGTGATTCAGATGAGGGTTTATGTACCGGATACTTATCATGTATCGCAAACAGGACCAACCTGAGGAGGGGAGGAGGACTGGGCTGGACCAATCGAGCAGAGTCAGTCCGTCGAGCTCCGAAGCTGGCAGCAGGAAAAGGGGGTCCAGGGGCCAGACAGGAAAGTATAGCGTTTGCAAGAAACAAAGAAAGAAAGAAAGACAGAAGGAAAGACAGAAAGAAAGAAAGAAAGAGTGGATAAGATGCGATAGTCGTGAAGAGCGATGGAGCAGCAAGAGGGCTGTGAGTAGCCACACCACACCAAGCGATTCGTTACAATTGTAGAGGCAGCAGATTATGAGGAGGTGGAGGGCTGCGAAGCCAGTTGGCTGGGGTATTATTCGACTGCTTGTGATCAATGACCGAGGCAAGGATTTGTACCAAGTAGAGAAAAAGAAAAAACACAAAAGGAAAGGAAAGGAAAGCAGGATGGAGGCAACTGGGCTACATAAAAAGAGGGACAGAATATTATTATGAAGATGATAGTCGAGTCGAGTTAGCGAGGGTGTGTGTGTGTGTGTGTGAGTATTAGGGCAATGAGCCTGGTTCGGGTTGAAGTGATGGGAGTAGGAGGATGGCCAAGGAAGGCGGGATTGGGAATGGCTCAACGAGAGGGGCGAGATGGTTATGTAAGGGTGGGTGAGCAGACCCAATCAAGCACGGCGTGTGGAAGGACTGGAGAAAGCGATCATCAGCCATGCTTGCAATGCCAAGCAGCTCAACTCTCAAATCCCAGTGCTTACTTGATTCTCGATCTCTTGCTGTCTTCAATCCGGCAGACCCCTAAAACAGGTAGTTTTATTGACGAGACTCGAACATAAAATCAAAAGTTAAGGAAGACGCAGTATACTATAGAAGATATCAAAGCCTGCGGATGGCCGTTTGAGCGAAGAAAAAAAAGAAGAAGAAAAAAAGGCAAGAGCGAAAGCAGGATGATTGGATCCTTCATTCCAACGATTTGCTCTGGACAGTCACAAGAGTACAACATAAACTCAGAACAGAAGGTGTAGATGGTTAGATGTGTATGTACAACCCGAACCTTAAAGCGGGCGTCCAATTCATACCGAATTGGTGTTTTTAGGTTCCAATTAAATACTTGAATGCTTGCAAGTAAGCAGTTCAACCCAAGAGACTCTTGAGTCTTTGAACTGGATTACAGTCACCCAATTCCGTGCCTCGCTCATTCATCATCTGTCTTCGGCTTGCTCCATTTGCAATATGTACAACATACAATCACCCCCTCGATGGACCAGCTTAATGCTCCCTTTTCGCGGCGTATGTATACTGCTTTAAAACGAGTGGAGTCATTGTACATACTCTTCTCAGTCGACAGATGATGTATGCATGTACTTCACGAATGAAAGCTTGTATCACAACATCGATGAATATGTACATTGTTATTTTAATCATACCCAGGCTGTGGTGAGA